CCCACCATTTAGTTTGAGTTTAAAGAAATTTCTCACCTAGAAATTTCTTAAGAAATTTAACATTTGAAATTTCTAAAATTCTTATCTTTAGATAATTGTTAAATATTTTTTCCCACATTTTTAAGTTATATTTTTTATAATTTTATTATTTTTAACTATTATTTGGACAAGAATACAATTATTTTTATTGAAATTTCATCTAAATTATTCTACTATTTGGGTAAAATTTAGAGAAATTCTTCACGTAAAGATTTCTTAAAAAATTTACTATTTAAAATTTCTAAGAATTTCATCATTAGATAATTAGTAGTTTAATTCCAAAATTTTATTAAATTTATGTTTTATTTAAAAAAATTAAAAATAAAATATTTATTATTATTATTATTATTATTGAAACTTTATCTAAATTCTCCTTCATTTGGCATAAATTTAAAAAAATTTCTCACCTAGGAATTTTATAGAAATTAACCTTTTGCAATTTCTAAAAATTCTATAATTGGATAATTATTATTTATTTTCAAAAAAATATTAATTTTTTATTTTTTTCTATTTTTTAAATTTTCTTCTCTAATTTTTCTTAAAATTTAATTATGCAAAAATACTTTAAAAATAAATAAACAAAATAAATAAGTACATTAAAAAAAAAAACCAAAACAAGAACCAACTTGGTTGGTGCGTGTGGCTGGATTGCAGGCACAAAACTGGCTGAAAAAGGTTGGGAAGTGGCTCAATTCAACTTAAGTATGGGTTACTAAATTCTAGGATTGACCACCAAAATTTGAGTAATTACGCCAGAATTTTAAGCTCAATTGCTTTCAAACTCTTGCTCTCATTTTTCCCCTATTTTTCTTTCCAATTGCTTTATGATTGTTGGCTTTTTGTTCTATAATTTAAAGGTCAATTTATAAGATACAATAAGAAGAATTTTAGATTGATTCCAATTCCAAAAATTAGGATTATCATAAGAAAATTGAATTTATCTTTGAAAAGTTTAACTTCAAATTTAATCATGATAAAACTACATTATCACCAGCCACTCCTTTTTAATTTATGGCCATTCATTTTTTTTTTAATTATCTATTTTTTTTAAATATCCAAATACATTTTAAAAAATTAGATAAATATAAAGAGATACAATTAAAGATAAACAACAAATAAATAAGATAAAATAAGTAATAAAATAAAATAAAAATGATAAATAAAATAATATATGGATAAATAAAGTAAAATTATAATTTTGACAATTAAGCTTGGATCAAATCTGAACCCAATTGATTTAGGTCTTTGGCCCTGAAATTAAATCGGGTTCAATTGATTTAGATCTTGGACTACATTGGGTGTTTATACTATTCTATAATATTATTAATAAAAGGACTAATTTAATTTTGGTACTATTGAGTCAAGTGACACCAAATGGTACTATTTGAAAAAATCAACAAATAATTTTTAATAAAATTTTATTTTTGAAATGAAAAAATTGGAAATAAAAAAATGAAAAACTCAACTTTTTTTATTTTTTGAATATTTTTAAAAATTTTAAGGAATTAATTAAAAATTTAAGAAAAAAATTAAAATGAAATTTTTATTTTTTTAATTTATGAAAAAATTTTAATTTCTTTCTTGATCTTCTTTTCTTTTCTTTTTTTTCATTTTTCTAATTTTTAATTTTATCTACTTTTTATTTTTTCATAATTAAAAATTTTAAAACAAAAATTTTTAAATGTAATAAAAGATAGAGAGCTCGTATCCATTTTGTACAAAAGGATGAGGGTATATTTAAATATTAAGCCAATAATATTGCTAATGCTGGCACTCAACCTACGTACCTGTCAGGTGCCACATCTGGGATCAAGAGTGGATTCACTGTTTATCAAAGAGTGTTCATAAACATCGTCAAATATTGAAAACTATGAAAAATTGAAAGAAAATTTTCTCTGAACACTTTAAAAATTTTTCCTGGATACTTCTTAATATTTTCTTTAGACACCTTCAAAGATTAAAATTAAAAAATTTGAAGTAAACACACTCTTTTCACTAATAAAATCGATAAATTCATCATATATATATATATATATTATAAGTCGACACTTAAAAAAAATTTGGATCTATCAAAAGATATGTGGAGGTAAAATTTGATGAAGCTCTAAGGGTCCAAGATGAATTAGGTGGAGTTGGTATTGCAAATATTGTGATAAGAGCAAAAGGATGGTGTTGTTGCTCAAGGTAGTGTCGGGTGTATTGGAGCCAATCATGATAGAAGCGAATCAAAGGCAGTTGAATTTGCAAGGGACATGGGATTTGATAACATTATCGATCCTTGAAGGGGATGCTTTGGAGACTTATATTAATCATCTGAAGGTTGCAGCTCAAGATCTTTCGGTGATAGGCAATCTAATCTCATATATGACGGATGTTAAGAGGATAAAGGAGAGGCTTTCGAGGCTACATGCAAGCTAGCACATATTAGAACGCAAATGAGGCATTAAGTGGTTGAGAAGAATTATTTTGGACTGAGTAATCACTGGTAGATCCATAAAAATTTTAAAAATAAAAAAAATTGAGGATAATTTTTGTTCGGATACCTTTAAAAATTTTTTTCTGTATATTCTTTTATTGATAAAATTAATAAATTTATTAGTATTTTTTTTATATATTATAATGGAATACCCAAAAAAAAAAATCTTAAATCCGTCATTATGAATAATATTCTGATTTTGTCAATGACAAAGGATGTAGCTGCAATTGATTGTCCTATTTCCTAATCAATGAAAATTTGTTTTATTTTAAATAAAAAACTTTGATTTGTAAATTTCTTTCTTTTTTTGACTTTTTAATAATAAATCATTTTAAGTAACACCAAATCAGAGAATTAACAAAAAAAAATCTAATAACAGCAAAAATAAAACTAAGGATATCTATTATTTTATTATTTTTTATAAATACACTTTTTTAAAAAATATCCATTTCTTTATAAAAAATTTTATATTTTAATCAAGAAACTTTTTTTTCTCTCTTTAAAAACATATACATTGTTTTTTTTTTTTTTTAATTTTTATCAAAAACACCAAAACAGGTAAATATTAGTATCAATAAATGTGGCTGATTTGTATAAGAGAGAAAAAGTTGTCGATGGGGACTATTTACACCCGCACTCCCATTATTATTAACATTCATTCCTTCTTTTTTTTTTTTAATCTCAAACCAAAATAGTAATTTACAAAAAAAATTTAAACATCCCCGTCCCTTCTTTTCTTCTTCATCAAAAACCCTAAATCCTTTAAGGATTAAGCTCCAAATTAAGCTCTAATCACCTATTTGATGTTAGATAACTTAAAATTATAGGTAAATTATTTATTTTTTTTGATTTTTTGATTTGATTTTGTATTTAATTTTAAAATATTTAAGATTTTAAGTTTAAGAGTACAATTTAAGGTAACAATTTGAGTATTCTGAAAATAAATTTTAGGAAATTGTTGAAAATTTTTGAAAATGAATATCTAAAAACTTTTTCAATGTACTGAAAATTTATTTTCGAAATCTCTTGTCGGATATCTATTTTTGGAAACTTTTGAGAATTTTTGAAAGTATATTTATGAAATTTCTCATGGTTTTCAAACATTCATTTCCAAAATCTTTCAAAAACTTCAAAAAAGGGATTTTTGATACACAATAATTTTTTACTACTAAAAGAGATCAAATAACTTTCCAATTCATAAGAATTAATCTTATTATGTCATTAGTAAATTAACAAATTTACCAATAGAGACTTCTAATCTTTCGGCCAGTAAATGCTGTCCATTCAATAATATTTGTAATATTTTATAATTCTGACAGATGTGCATCCGAGAGAAATTGTTAAGTGTGAAGAGGTGCTTGTGCAAATTGGCTATTGCACCATTTGCGACGGAGTGTGATTGCCTTATCGCATATTGTGTAATAGCAACTTGCATGAACACTCTTTGTAATTAACGAATTTTTTTAAATGCACATTTGTTAGAATTAATAGAAGATTTCAAATTTTATTAACTGAACAGTATTTAGTCAAAAGATTAAAGATTTTTACTATTGAATTTAAATATTGTATATGTTAGAAATATTATTACAGATTCATTTGAAGATCGCAATAAGAGACATTCGATATTTTCATGACAAACATTGATCAAAAGATTGTAATAAAAAAATTGAAGTAAAAAATTATTCGTGAAAATATATTTTTGAATAATTGCAATGCTTTCTAAAAATAAATTTTTAGTAAAGTTCAGAAATTTTCGAAAACAAATTTTTAGTACATCGAAGAAGTTTCCAAAAATTTATTTTTTTTAACTTAATGAGAAGAGATGTAAAGAACAAAAAAATGATTAACTATTTAGTATTTAAGTAATTTTTTTATTAATTAATTTTTTGGAGTGTATTGAGAGTTTTTTAAGGTGCAAATAGTCGAACTCAAAGTTGTATAAAAATAGAGCCGCTGACTCAAAATTCATAATCGAAGTAGACAAGTAGTTCATGTATTTGGAATTAACTGGGCTTTTGCAAATAACCGTTTCCTTTGAGCCCCTTACGTTGCTATGAAAAGATACCTTGTTCTGTACTGGCCCCCCCAAAAAAAGACACCTTGATCTGCACCGGCACCGCCATTGTCGATAAGCCTAAAAAGCAGAGGTTAAAGAGTGGCACACGTGAACAAGGACAAAAAGGTACTTATTCATTTTTCATGTTGTTTTCTATATGATTAAAAAAACTTTAAATTCGTATTAAATTTTGAGCTATTATCAGCAAAGAAATTAGAAGTAGATTTAATTTTAAACACAATAATGATATTAAAAAATACAATAACGATACAATTTTAAATTGTAATAAAAATTATATATAAATTTAATAAAAATAAAATTTTTTATATTTATCATGACAATAACAATACGAATTGTTACACCATAATGTATTTTACATAAAATTAATAGGAAAAAATATATATAAATACAAGAATTATCGTCTCTAATTAGAGAAGCTAATGATATTCAACACCGAAGGTACAAGAAACATGGCAAAAAGAGACCTCGCTAACAATATCAGCTTTCTTCTTCCTAACGCGACTAACGAAAAAAAAAATGCTGCAGAGAAATTAACTCAATATTCTCAGGCATTTTTTGTTGTTGAAAAATTTCGCTTTAAAACTTGATTTGACTTCCCAATGCCAAGCAGTTGCTAGCCATGTGACTGGACTTTTTATTAGTAGCAGCAAGAGGAGATCTTTGACCGGCTTCCGCAAAAGCATCATCGCATGTCTCGTAATCAGCAACCACTGCGCTGAGGTTGCTCATGAGGCTCCCAGGATCCTTATGGTTGATGTTGTCCAGGGATTTCTTTAGGTTGTCGATGGCATCGTCGTAACTGGTAAGGCAGTTATCAAGTTTAGGACTTTTGCCTAGCTTGGCAGCCAAGGCCTTCGCCCCCATTGTTTGATCGATCAACGCCTTAACAGCAAGTTCAGTAGCAAGTTTTGGATCACTCACTGACCCCTTTACAGCTCTCTTGCAAAGCGGTGGGTAGTCTGTCTTGCGACACAAGTCACCATCAAGGATGCGAGCTGCGGTCTGACCAGCAAGGAGGAAAGTGGCCGTGGCAAGAAAGACCAATGAGAAAGGACTGAGATGCTTGATAGCCATGAATCTGATCCTTAGAAACGTTTTAAACTTCTTTTCCTTTTTTAATTTTTATTTGGGGTTCTTCCTCTTTGGTTTTTTCACCAGGTTTGATGTCAGGAACTTCTGTGAACGGTAGAAGAAAGAAACACGCCTAGATATTTCTGGTGTTTCTTTGTTGTTTGATTATTTTTTATGTTCCTAAAGCAAATGCTTCGCTGACAACTGCCACAGCTATTTTTATAGCCACGGATACTCTGGTTACCCTTGATTATAGCCGAAGCTTCTTTGTAGATTGGTATTGTGCGATTGACCAGGGCGTTCTGATTGCCCAGGGCCGAAATGCTCGCAAAGGTCATGACTTGGTGTCATGAAAGTGCGTTAAAAATGAATAATAAAGTTTTTGATACAAATTCATTTGTATCACATATATGAAAAAGGCTGCTGGGAATGTTTTTTATGGCAGCTGTGCTTGATAATTGATTGTGTGCGTCTATATATATATATATATATATATATATATTACAAAATATATTTTTACATGATAAAATTTATTTATGTGAAAGCTTAGGTTAAGGTTAATGGCCTTTTTATTTAGCATATAAGAAAAATTTGAAAATTTATATTTAAGATTATATGTAGGATAATTTTTAATTTTATATTATTTATCAAATAAATATATTTAAAAAATTATTAATTATTTAAATCTTTCAAAACTTAAGTGAAAGATAAAATTATATAAAAGGTTCGAAATGTGATATTTTAAACTTATTAAAATATAGTTTAAAGTAAATTAGAAAATTAATAAAAAATATATTATTTTTCAAAATTATTATTCTTCCTACTTATTCAAACTCAAATAACTTTTCAAAAATCAAATAGGCAATGAAGGAGATTTGAAATAATATCAGATAAATAATGATCGGTACAATTGATTGTATCTTGAGCCGACAATAAGCACATTCACCTGCCGAAAATGGTCGAAATTCACAATATCAAAATTTGATCCTCTACAAGTAAATAAGAATAGCAAGTTCGATCAAAAGTTTAATTAAACCAACCGTTTGCCTGCTCCAATTGGGAAACCAAAGCCAATAACAGCTTTCAGTTGCAGCATATCATCTATAATAATTATAATACAATTAACTAATTATAATTTAAAAATTGTGTGAGAATCATCAAAATTTTATATGAAATCTATATTTATAAGTAGTGGATCCCTATATAATTTTTTATTATGAAATAACATTATAGTAAAAAGAATTGTAGTTGAAATGCTCCTTGAATGATTCCACCAAATTATACAAATATCTTTCTAAATGAATTTCATAATAATTTAGCTATATATTTTTTAAAATTTAAAATTTTCAAATGTAGAGATATATTTTTTAAAAAGAATTTTATAATAATTTAAATATATATTTTATCTTTTAAAATTAATTTTCTAATAATTTAATATATTTTTTTAAATTTAAAAATCTTAAATATAGTTTTATCTTTATATATTTCACAATAATCCTTTATTATACAAAAGACCAAAATTTATTTATTGATAATTTAAATATATATCTTTTTAAAATAAGTCTTGCTAATTTTATTTCTTTCTCATTGTTCTTCACCTCCATGTGCAGCTCTTTTTTTTCATATACGACAAAGTGTAAGTTAAACGTTCATTCTTTTCTTTCTTAAGTGCTGACAGGTGAACTTTTACCTTTAATTATAACTTTTTTTTTTCATATATTATAAAGTGTAAAATTACAAAACATTTATTTTTCTATTTTGTAGATTATATTAAGAAACCTTTTCTCTTTAGTTTTAACTATTCATTCAATTAGGGAAGATTTTTTTCTCTCATCATTTGTAACATTTTTTTTTTTTGTTTTTCAATTCATAGTAAATTTACATATAACCCATCTAAGCTGATATCTTTTTTATTATGTTTTAAAAATAAACAAGAAAGTAAACACAAGAAATTTGTTTCATTTATTTGTGCAGAATAAATAAAATTATAGATATTCAAGAGATATTTTATGTAGAAAAAAGTCAGTATTTACATGAAAAAATATAAAAAATAAGTAGTTTAGTTCATTTCATTGAAACCTTTTGACAGTAACTTTTTAAATAATTGTTTAAAATTTAATAATCTTACTTATTAAAAATTTAAAATTATTTCATTTCATCTTTTACATAAACATATAGAATTATACATCAAATGTGAAGATCAAAATTGCTAAAAGGTATAAAAATTGTTAAGTATTATAAATGTTGAAAATCAAAATATCACATATATTATTTAAATATTTAAAATCATTATTGTAGATACCTCATTCTATTTGAAAATTTTCCAACATTAAAATGGGCTTTGAATCTTGAAAATTGGATGAAAATTTGCAATTGGGTCCTAATTGTGAAATTGAATTTTAGGCCCAATATAAAAAACTCTAAAATTTTATTTTTTATTTTTTGATTAAATTGTTAGTTTATTTTTTTAGTTTATTATTTTTGTTGTTTTTGCTTGTTTGTTTAGTCAAAAACTCAATTGGTCAAAAAGTAAAAAAAAAGAAAAAAAAGTCAAAAACAAACAAAGGAAAGAAAAAAGTGGTGATTTTTGCAAAAGGAAAACTTTTAGATTTTGTCAATTGGATTCAGTTGAAAGTTGAACATTTAATTGCTTATGGAAATACTTGGTCCATAATCTATGGAAAAAAAAAAAGGAGAAAATCATAAAAAAAAAGAATTTTGAAAGTTTTTGGTAAATTCGATGAGATTAATGCTTGTCCAAGGAATTCTTCCCTATAAAAAGACCTTAAGATTCAATCACAAACACACAACAAGCAATTAGCAGTTCACGAGCAAAACTCAAGCAATTATAATAGCATAAAAATTTTCTAAGTCTTGGTTTTGGGTTTTAGAAGTTCAATTGTTGGAGTTTTGATCTTTGAATTTTTTTGTGTTTCTGTCTTAGGATTTTTGTGGTTATGGGATTTTGGAATTTGGGCTTGATTTTTGGGTTTTTGGTGTTTTTGGAATCCTGGAAAATTTTGTTCGAATTTTTTGGATTTTTGAATTTTTTTAGATTTTTTTAAATTTTTGGGTTTTTTGGGTTTTGGCTTGAATTTTTTGATGGAAGTTGAATTTTTCAGTTGAATTTCACGGTGGTTGTTGTGTTTTATGGCAGTTGGTTTTTGGGTTCTTTGAATTTTCAAGTGAATGTTGAATTTTTTGACAATCGAATTTTGGGAAAGTCATCAAATTCTAGATTTTTTTTTACTAGATTCTAGAATTGTTGAATTTTTTGTTTGGGGTTTTAAAAAGAAGTTAGAGGAATATGAGCTTAGAGAGAGAAGAGGAAGAGTAAATTTTAAAAAATTGAATTTGTTTTGACTTTTATAAGGAAACCAAGCGATGTCATTTTGGGAAGCTTAGGATCTATGTGTTGACCTGAAGGCATCCGTGAATTGACCCGCTTAGACCCGATTTGAATCGCAGGTTTTCCTTTGTAATTTTTTATTTTTTAATTTCAATTTATTTGTTTATTTATTGGTTTTTTAATTATTTTGTTTTCATTATTATTGAACTTGAATTAAAAGTGATGAGAAAAAGAAAAAGAAAAAAAAAGGAAATTTTGGTAGAATTTTTATAATTATATTTATTTGTGTAATTTTTATTAGATTTATTTGCATAATTTGTCATAATGTCTAGATCCGGGATCTATCGCTAGACATTGACTTAAGGGAGTCGCCACCAATCTTTTTTATCTAGGTGCGATTGGCCACCTATGGAATCTAGCCTTCCAGGGAACACCTAAGTTTAAGGGTCTCTAAAAGAATAGGTTCAGGTCTACTAACCAGAAAAGGGTTCGGGAGTTCGGTTACATGTGAGGAAGGTTATAGCACCCTCACAACGCCTATCAAAAGATGGTACCAGCTTAAATTTGTGTTATCCAATGAGCCTTAAAATTTTGCCAAGTAATTAATTATTAGAAATTATTCTCAATTGACTCTAATACTTTTAGCAAAAAATTAAAAAAATTCCCTCACCTCAGGAGTATGCGAGAAAAATTACTGTTTCACTTGCAGAGGCTCTATCGTCGGATTATTTAAAGAAAAATCAAAATCAAAATCAAAATAAAAAGGAAGGAAAGGATGATTGTATTGGGAAACACCACAGCTCTAATATCATTTGTTGGGCTAAAAGCCTCCAATCCAATCACACCAGCGGAAGCGAAATCAAACAATAAATCAAAAATCAAACACATAAGAGACAACAATTTAACGTGGTTCAGTCTAACTGACTTACATCCACGGATGAGAAATAAGATCCACTAGTTGTAGAGAATTACAAACATACATCAAATCATCAACCTCACTCAACAATCAATACTCATAAGACACTCTCAATCTCCTTTAGTCCTATGGAGTATTCTCAACCCAAACAAACACAAACTCAAACCCTTGTGCACCCTTTCAACATAACCAAACACATACCCATATGCTCTCGTACACCATACCTATGTGGACCCTCTCAATCTCCTCTAGTTCACTCACAAACAAACATACACACCCATAAAACGTAGAGCCCCAATACTCCTATGGGGTGTCTATCCCACAAAACCCTACAACTCTCTTACATCTTTTTCTCATACCTAACTCTGTAGAGACTTCACCTATTTATAACTATACAAACTTGCCCATTAAGAATCCCTCACCTCTTAGAATTCTTCTCCTGTAAGTCAAACTTGCCTATTAAGAATCTCTTTCTTTTTAGAATTCTTCTCTTGCAAGTCAAACTTACCTATTAAGAATCTTCTTTCTCTTAAAATTTTTCTTTTGCAAGTCTTCTTGTCCATCAAGCAATATCTAACAAATCTCAAACAAATTTCTAACAAATCCTAAACAAATCTTTTATGAGATTTGAGTCAATATTCCTAACAATCTCCACCTTGACTCAAATTCCATCAATCATCTGTCTTCATGCTAGACATGCTTGGCTCCACTTGTAATAAAAGTCTCACAATCATCTTTTCTTCTCTTGTGTCTTCACGCTTCATACAAACCAATCTTCAATCTTCAAAACTTAAACTCGAACTCTTCTATTAAATCGAGCTCCTCTAA